GAAAGATACAATATAACTACTAACTATATTTAACAATATATTCCTCAAAACTAAAGGCTGAGAATCTTTGGTTCTTAGCTAACAACTGAGCTAGTGCTAAAGGGAATACAACTCTCTAGTTTCCAATGACATGTTTTAATGTTTGAAAGATACAATATAACTACTAACTATATTTAACAATATATTCCTCAAAACTAAAGGCTGAGAATCCTTGGTTCTTAGCTAACAACTGAGCTAGTGCTAAAGGGAATACAACTCTCTAGTTTCCAATGACATGTTTTAATGTTTGAAAGATATAATATAACTACTAACTATATTTAACAATATATTCTTCAAAACTAAAGGCTGAGAATCCTTGGTTCTTAGCTAACAACTGAGCTAGTGCTAAAGGGAATACAACTCTCTAGTTTCCAATGACATGTTTTAATGTTTGAAATGCTTAATAGATTTTCTTTCTCCTTCTTTTGTGGTGTAGTGCAAAATGAGGAAGAATATTGTAGAAATAATGTACTACAACATGCTTCTTTCGTAATTGAGATCAGTTGACTCATTATTCATCAATCACAAAATACAAAGAAGTCATAAAATAGACATAAGTGGATATCCTCTTCTTTAGGGGTGCATTCGGTCCAGATACAGCTCAAATATTATGCTTATCATATTCATATCCGCTTACCTATCTTGGATACGGATACAGATACGGATATGCGTCCATATCCGCTAAAATCGAATACGATTACGGATATATAAGCGGATATGCATGCGGATACAAAACGGATATGCGAAAAGTAGATAATATTGAGAAAAACATAGTTCACGTGATACAAAAAAGATTGTTAATATGTTTATTATAACTAAAAAGCTAAGATTAGAATTAACCACAATCCATAATTTAAGAACCAAAACTATCGTAAGAGTATGACTAATATGTATTCGGATATTTCGGATATGGATACAGATATTTCACTACAAAACCATATCTATAACTATATTCTATCGGTTATAGATTTGAGTAACCATATCCATATCATAATGGATGTTGTTATGGAAATTTTCTCGGATATGGATACGGTTTAGCACCCCTACTCTTCTATCATCAATTTTATGTGTTCCCAACATATTCAGAGATATGTTCACACAAGCTTCATCCTCTGATCAGTTTGCCATCGTGGTGGATGTAGGATTTCTAAAGAGTGGTATCACTCACTATGTAAGTAATAATAAATAAAAATAAAAACCTAATAACTGTGACATGCTTTCATATTTTGAAAAAAGTTGATATCCGTATCATTAGTAACACTATCAAATGCACTAGCGTGTCTAGACTCAAGTGCATAGTATTAGTAAAATAAATATATCATTACTAACGTATCATATCTGAACCCAAGCACATATCATTTGTACAAAAAGTCTTCATGAAAAATAAAACCAAAAGAGAGGTGCTACAAAGACATATTCACCTAAAGTAAAGCCGCCCATGTTTACCATTACTAAGTTGGACAAATTTTTAAAAACAACCGCATTTCAAAATTAATAAGTAAAATCGACCATTTAAGAATTTATTCAGTAAAATCGACCATTTTTAGTGAAAAGGGTCAATTATGCAGTTTTTGAACTGCACGGGACTACTAGTCCCGTGCAGTTCTCCCAAAAAGACCCCAAAATCATCACTTCCTACTCTCTCCTCTTCCTCTCCCTTCTCGCCCTCTTCTACCTCCTCGCCGACACCGTCTCCCGCTACTTCTGCTCCTTCGTCAAAAACCTCTCCCGCCTCCTCAACCTCTCCCCCAAGAACATAGCGTATGAACCTGACTCCAAGTTCCACGGGCTTGTCGCTGGGATTGAGCTGGACACCAAGAGCCCCAGTGAAGCAACCATTGCTGTCTGAGAGCATGAGGACGTTGTCGGTGTCCACGTTGAGGCTCTCCTTCCAGGCCTTGATGACGAAGGCGTCGTCGACGGAGACGCAGGTGATGGTGCCGACGCCCTTGGCCTTGAGATCAACGACCTTCTCCACGAAGCCAGGGAGGTGTTTTTGAGAGCAGGTTAGGGGTGAAGGCTCCAGGGACAATGAAGAGAATGGTTTTCTTACCCTTGGTGAGATTAGAGACAGAGACTGTCTGGAGGGCGGAGGTAGGTGGAGAATCGCACGAGGTTCAACTCAAAAGGGAGAGAGTGCGAAGTGCTGATTTTGGGGTTTTTTTTGGAGAACTGCACTGGACTAGTAGTCCCGTCGTGCAGTTTAAAATCTGCAAAATTGACCCTTTTTACTAAAAAGGGTCGATTTTGCTGAATAAATTTTTAAATGATGAATTTTACTTATTAATTTTTGAAAAATGGTCGTTTTTAAAAAATTGTCCTACTAAGTACTATGTTCTTTATTCTCAAGCTGAATAGAAAATTATCAAATCATCTTTTTGCACCTTCAGTCATGAGTATAATTTGAAAAATTTGTGTTAGGATCATAAATTATAAAGATTCATATGGTCAACCCCCGCACTTTTCACCCATGTGTAAAATCTCTAAAACTCAATTTCTCATGTGAAGAATCCTCTCTTTTGCCGCCACCTCAGCATAGAGAAAAGTCACATTCTCCCCCAGTCTCTCATCTCTCTCTTTTTCTTCCTCATGAATCTATGTCTAAATGTTCCTTCTTCTCCCTCTCATCAACTATTATCTCTTTTTCCACCACGTTTGCAATTACATCCTTCTTCTCATCTTTTCTCAACCATTAACTTTTTCGCCGTTGCGGCCTTTCTTTTTCATTTTCCCCTTCCCTCAAACATTTCCGCACCTCTTTCCCACAGCTGTTGCCACATCACTCAAAGATTATTTTCTTTGGCTACAACAGACATCTCATAAAGTTACACGAAAGTTAACACTAAATAATTACAATTAACATCTATATTTTAAGGTAAATATTTAGCCAAATTTTATCAGATAGATGTTAACTATATGACTTAAATGTTAGCTTTACTAGATAGATGATAATTGTATGATTTAGCTGTAGAGTTTAATAGATATGTTAATTCAATGAATTTATTGCTAAGTTTAACAAATTGATGTTAGCTATATGAATTAGCAGCTACTCTATATAGTTAACATCTATTTCTTGAGATTATCATATGGCTTAAATCATTAAAATGTATAGTATAAAATTGACATCTATTTTGTAAACTTAACATCCATCTTCAAAGATTAACAATTTTTTTTATAACGCTAATTGCAGAGCTTAGATTAGAGGAAACAAGAAGAAAAATAAGAACCAGAAATAATATTTGGAGAGGAACAATGAGATTGTATTCATCGATTCATCTAGATAAGAACAAGTATAATCCTAATACATTTTATTGATTTTAATTCTCAATGTCTCATCTGTCTCTTCCATTTAGTGGTAACTATTTTCACTACATAATAACTATATGACAATTTTCCCACTAATCCCACAACATCCTCTTGGAATCCTAACAGAACACGATTGTTATTTTAGGCTCTGTTTGGCAAAGGGTTAATGAAGAGGGATTAAGGAGAAGGATTAACATAGTTAGCCCATTCGATAATCCGAAGGACTAAATTATTAACCCGTTATATAAGTTTTATTTTAGTCCTTGTGATCAGTTTTAGTGTTTGGGAATAACAATAATTTTGACTATTTTCTTTATAATTAGAAGGGTTAACTCTTAATCCTTCTAAATAGGAGTATTAGTAAACCACTCATTTTGAGGGGTTAACTCATTTTAATCTCTCTAAAGGGGTTAGCTTAACCCTTCTATATTTTTATGTTTGGCAAATTATGGAGGGTTAACTCACTTTAACCCTTGTATAGATTTTTTATGTTTGACGAGTTAAGAAGGGGTTAAGTCTTCTTAACCCTTCACTTAACCCTTTGCCAAACAGTACCTTAAGGATGGAAAAAAGGATTGAGAAGAACTACACATGAAAAATTATTTTTGTGGCTAAAATACATTAGCAAAAGTGCAATAACTTGATCACATGAGCATTTTAATTTTGGGGTCTAAACATAATTTTTCCTTAAAATTTGTTATTTTCCTTTTCATCACTGTAATAATTGATTTCTCAATCTATTGTATTTATTAACTTTTCATAAGAAGAAATCTCTAAAATCAGTTAAATTCAAGGAGTTTACAGTAAAATTGAGTCCATCGAATTAGTGGTTACAACATAATTGAGTCTATTGAATTATTGGTTAATCCATACAATATTAGTCGCTATATACTTCATTGTATTAATATATTTTTGAGTAGGGAATGTCGCCCTACTTTTTCTTAAAAAAAATATATTTAGTTATGATAAATAGTTATAGATGTATTATTTATTAATCCGAATCAAAGCTGAGATTTTTTTTAAAAATATATATAAAATACAACATTTACTGGAGATAATGTCAAAATATATATATAAAATACAACATTTTGAGTAGGGAATGTCTATTTGCATTTCTTAAGTAGTTTCTAAGAGGAAAGTAAATGGTTCCCCCCCTAAAAACCACCTTAAACATAGAGTAAGTATACATAAATCATCTTTCAATTTCAATTTCAATTTACATATAATCATCTTTAAAATAGGTTTTGTTGCAATCAACCACCTCCTAAATAATTTTTCACTAAAAATTCAAAAGAAAGCTTAAAATATTTAATTTTAAAATATATGAGTTGCATCCTAACACGACCTAAATACTTTGAATGTGATTTTTTAAGAATAATTTTAAATTTTCAGTAAAAATTTTGACCGGAGATTATTGATCGCAGTAAAAATTCATTTTAAAGAGGAATTATGTATAAATTAGAAATGAATGATGGTTCCCTTATTATTATCCTATTTTCTAAGTGGTCGCTACGAAAAAACCCCCTTTAAAGAGCCCTTTCAATTAGCCTCAAACTATTTTGTAATTAATTTCGATCAAGATTTTCTTCCAGCGGAGAAGAAGAAGAAGAAGAGCTTGAGAAAGCTCTCAATTCTGGTGAGAACAAATTTCCTTTACACCTTTTGCCTTGGTTCGTTTTATCATTACATTCATTATTATTCAGCATAGGAATACTACTGTGATATGCGCATAGGATCCACAGATGACGCCATGTTTGGTCGGATTTAGGCGAATCTGACAGCGACAGGGCTTGTAACAACATGTTTGTTCGAAACCCACTCGAGTTTCCCCCTTGAAACCAGCCCTTTCCCTGGTGATCGCCTCATGACGAGGGTGACATGGAAGTCCTTGACCTGCTGGACTCTAGAAAACGAAAGTTGGTACGTAGAAAGGTACATGCTGACCCCGGGCGGCTCCTGGACCCGTGCCTGGTAAACCTCGTGAGCATCCCCTACGTTCGTCGCTGTTCGTTGCACGATCTGGGTCCTTGAGTTTGAGCTGAGAGATACTGCGATGGAGGGGTAATTCAGCTGTGACGGGCTGGTCTTTTTGTGTAGGGAGCATGGAACAAAATAGCCAACTGTCCAGAACACTTCACTGTCGTTGTACCCTAGGCCACAGAGGTATGAGATGAAATCGTAGTGAGTTAGGTCATAAATGAGACCAGGATCCATCGCCCCGGCTGGATTCAACTGGCCCGCTCCTGTGGCATAGATACCAGCTGTCTCATTGTTCGCCTCATCCTTGATGGGGTTCCCGTCAAGATCTAGCTCCTTGGCCGAGGTTATGATGGCGGATTGGATCGCTGCTGGCGACCACTGCTTGTGTTTGTACTTGATTAAAGCGGCGATTCCAGAAACATGAGGAGCGGCCATGGAGGTGCCGCTCAAATAGTTGAAGTTTTTAAAGATGAACGGGTTAGGATTAGGTCCGACTCCAGATGGCCATGCTGCTAGAATGTTCACGCCTGGTGCAAGGACATCTGGCTTCAAGATGTCGCCATTCATCTTGCTTGGACCCCTAGAGGAGAAAGAAGCGACTGCTGGAGATGGTCTGAATCCATATTGTGCGTAGTTGAACTTGATTGCTGCAGTAGGAGTGGAGTTTGACATCATAACGTAGTCTCTGATCTTTATCCCATCCACAAAGCTAACATGGACAGCTGGAAGGATATGAGCTTCAGAAGATGTGGTATATCCCTGGTC